GGGGATGAACACACTAGGAAACTTAGCAAAAGTCCGTTTAGTGAAGACAATGTATAATCAGAGTTGTCAATCTATTTTAAAATTCCAAGTTAAAATAAATCAAATTTGAGACCACAAGCTGATGCAAAACATTTAAAATACACTGTACATCCACTGAAAATTTCTGAAGCATAAGCACAAATAGTATAAGAACTATCCAATTGTGACAACTCGTTAGTTTAAAAAAATCCAATTACCCAGATTTTTGTCCCAGAGTAGTTGCAGAAAATTACACAATTAGAGCAATTTTTCTCAGCTGCTCCACTATAGAAAATGAAAGTAATTATACAAAAATAGTGTAAAATACTTTTCACAACTGCAAGTTAGAGTTTTGCTTTCTTTAGAAGAAATTCTGTTTTTCTTTCAGATAATCATCTCAACAAAAAGTTGAAGAGAGCCAGCAATAAAAAGAGACAGCAATAGCTAAAAGAAGAATCAAGAACAAAGCAAAAGGTGAGTGAAATACTAAATGACTCATGAGAAACCGAAGAGAATTCAGAAAGACCTAAGAACCCAGCATTCCAATTACAATGAGTAAAAAGAAGGCTGACACAAAATCGTATTCCTCCTGCTTTTATTAACATTGGAGTTAAAGTTTTTGAAGGTCTCCTTTGTCCTGCATCAAATTATAATGCATTCAAGGAGCTCAGCATTCACTTAGAAACGGTCATTCTTTTCTGTTCAGCCCCTTTGAGGCAGGTCCACACACCCAGTGAAACAGAAGTTTGGAAATTAACTGCTAAACTAGGTGCAGACTAAGTACTAATCAAGAATTTGAGGGTAAATCTACATGTATCCACTCTTTATTTAAAATAGTTACTACTTCAAGAATACACTGAAGTTTTACTAGACTATAATTTGGAAAGCAGATATTAGGGATTCAACCCAGTTCTTGCCTTGGTTGTTGTATTCTTGGTTGTACTTTATGCCAATAGGATCTGAATGCTGGAAATTTCATTTAGGCATGTGAGGGATCTGGTTACATACAAGGTCTCAGAGAAGCGCAAAGCCTACTTGTTAAGCACCATTTCAACACCTATATTCCACGGCTTGAAAAGAAAGCTTATTATAAGGAACATCTGTGGGACTGTCCCCTTGGCACCAGCACCCGTAATCTTTGAGCTGGCCTTCTCTGCCATTTGCGCAACTAGAATGATTGCGCTGTGAGTCTGATTTTGTGCCTGTAGTTACAAATCCAAGCTGGGCTTGGCTAGTCAAAGCCAGTTTTCAGGATATGGGAATTTGGGATTCAGCAAGCTGAATCAGCCTATCACCTGACTGAAGCAGCAAGTTGTAAAACTTTCAAGTTTTTAGTGATAATGTTTTTGTCATATGGGTAAAAATTTAAAAGACAAGAGTAAAGGAGCCAGAGAAAAGCAGAGACAAGAGACAGAGATGCAGCTTGGACAATTTCCAAGCCCCAGACTAGTTGCTGAAGCCTGGCAGAATCTGCATTTGTTATGGGTTGATTGTGTCTTCCCAGTAAGTTCCTCCCCTGTAGCTTTGGTTTTTTCTTTTGTTTGTTTTGTTTAAGCTGACTCAGTCTGGTTGTTTACCTCTTGCAAGCAAGAGTCATAGCTAATGTAATGATCTCTCCCCAAATACTCTAAAGCAGATGGTAAAAGAAAGGTGAACAATCGCTTAGTCAGAAAGCACATTGTGGGAAATAAAGGAAGGACACAAGAAATAATTGCAAAATCTTGCTTTCTTTGCAATTTGGAGCTTTGTGAGCATGGTGGACTGACTAATGGTCAACCTGTAACACCCAGCTGAACTGAGTCAGCATGGTGCTGGGTGTGGAAGACCCACCTGAGGATTGTTGCCAACAGTGCAAAAGGAGAACTGGAGGGGAAGAGGATGTGCTGTCGATTCTCCTGGTGAAGCTTATCAGGCTGGTTTTCCTGATATGAACTCAGCTCTTCTCATTGTCAGAGGAGCTTGGGTCCTCAATGTCGCTGAGGGTGTGCTGCCGTTCACTTCAGAGGGGGAGCTCTGGTCCTTACTCTGAGCATTGCTTCCTGGCTCCAGTGCAGATTCTGCAGCCTGCTGGCACAGATCCTTCACCCTGCTGGTGCAGACTTTCTAGCTTCTAACACTGGACTTTGGGCCTTTCTAGTGCAGATCCTTGATAGAGACATTCATGAGACCTTGTTGTGGGCTCTAGGCCTCCAGGAGGACTTGTGGAGGACATTACCATGGGCTCTAGGTCTTCAGCTGGACATTGCCATGGGATCCCAGCTCTCAGCTGGATTCTTTGGGTCTTAGGTGCATGGATAAATCTATTATATTCTTCTGCATTTGACTTTTTGGGTGAATATTAGAATATAATCCTTTAAGTTATATGTCCTTTATTAAAGTTATTCCCTTGTAGGGCCTGGGGATTTAGCTCAGCAGCACAGTGCCTGCCTAGCAACCACAAGGTCATGAGTTCCATTCCTGGTACCCGAAGAAAAATAAACAAAAAAATAAATAAATTTATTCCCTTGTAAACCCTGACTACAGCAGTGAGGAAGGAAAGAGGTTTAGAAATCACTACAAGCAGGGCATCATCAGAAGAAACAAGGCCAAGTGGAACAAAAGGCAGTGAAATCAGGACATGGTATCTTTGCTAACTACTTGTAGAGGGTGGTGAGAATATAAACTTAAACCTGAATTTAGGCTATTTGTTCTACACCGCCTATTGTAGGGTGTGCTAGGTAGATTCTTTCAGATTTCAAGGGACACTGACACACCAGGCAAATAGTCCAGCATTCAGATAATAAGAATTCTGAAAAGAGAGAACAGAGAAAAGTTGAGGAAGCTGACTCAGATCATTTCCTTGGGTTGAAGAACTTGAATTTCCCAATTGCACAGGCTCACTGAGAGCCCAGCATACAGATGAAAGTAGATCTTCATCAAGATATATTCCTGGGAAATTCAGAACACTGGGACAAGGAGAGAATCTTAAATATCTCTATAGAGGAGGAAAAGGAACAGGTCATAGACAAAGTATAAGGAATCAGGATTTCTTCTGCTATTTCAATAGCAACCCTGGTGGGATAATGTTTTCAAAATTATTTTGTCTAGAATTCTATATCCAAGCCAACTGCAAATCAAATAGAAGTGTAGACTAAAATATCTTTCAGATGTGTCAGGTCTCAACAATGTCATTTCCATGCTTATTTTCTATGGAAAAATCGAGGACGTTGTGACAGTAAAAGACAACTAAACCAAGAAAGAGGAATGTATGGGCAAAAAGAATAATAAGGTAAAGAGATGTGCAGGACTAGAGGGGACACCACCATGATAGTTGTGCTCAGGTGTAGAGGGACACTAGTCCACATAGCAGGTTCAAAAAGATGGTACCATAGTTCTGTGTCTATAACTGCATTTCCCTGAAAGCAAAAAGACAGGTGTAGTGAGAACCAATGGAACTGTATTAGTTATCTATTGTTGTGTAAAATGCAACTGCAAATACATGCTTTAAAACAACATGCATTTACATTTTTCATGGTTGGGCATCCAAGCACAATTTAGCTGGATTTTCTCCTCAGGATTTTCCAAGGCTATTAACAAGGTAATGGTCAGGACTGGGTTCTAGAGTTTGGGGTCTTGTAGTTATTGGAAGCGCATAAGGTTGTTGGTACACATCACTTCATTGTAGTTGTTAGGCTGGGGTCCTGTTTTCTTGCTGTCACTCAATATTTACTCTTTGCTCCTAGAGGTCACCAGCACTTCATGTGGCTTTCTTACAACATGAGAGCTTCCTTCTTCAATATCTGCAGGAGAATCTCCCTCTTAGACTGTTAATATGGAGTCTTATGTAATATAACTTGGTCAAGAGAGTGACCATTCCACAGCCTTTGCCATATTCTATTCGCCAGAAGTAAGGCTCATGTTCTACCTTCCCACAAGGAGAGGGGTTTATACAACAGTATGACACACTTATGGTCACTGAAGGAGGTGTCTACTACAGCAACTATTAATTTAACTGATGAAATACACAATGACAATGGTATATGACTGAGACTGAGTGATAATGTAATAAAGAAATATTTTCTCACAGGAACAGTCCCACTGATATCTAGTGTTCTAATTAACTCATTATCAAAAGCTTGCAAATGGCTGCCATACAGTAACAAAAATTTTTCCAAATTTGAGATATTCCCTTATGCATACATATTCCCTTTCCATGAACATTATGTCAGTAAGAATCACCATTTTTCTGGGTATAGCAGTAACTCATCCTTTTATATTGCTCTATGGTATTTCATTGCATGGATATACTGCATTACTGATCTACTCTACTGCTGAGAAATGCTTTGCTTCCAGTTTTTTGTTCTTATGAATGTTGATATTCTGGATACATCTGTGGATGTGTTGTAGTCCACCTACATAATTCCTTAATCTGATATTAAGGAATGTACAAAAAATCCATAGTAAACATAATATTTAATGGTAAAATAGTGGAAGCATTTTCTCTGAGATCAGAGATGAGATAACAATATATGATAACATTGCTCCCTTTCAGCATTTTACTAGAGATTCTAGTCCATATTATCTCCTAGTGAAAGATGTAAAAGGTATGAGGATTAGAGAGGAAAATGCAAAATTGTCATTATCTGTAGTGTAAAAATTTGTATAAAACACAGAAAAACTATTTAAGTAATAAGTGAACTTAATGTCAATTTATACAAGTTCTTTGTATATATGGTGACAAATGATTTTTAATTAAAAGTTATTCAACTTATAATAAGACAAAAATATCAAATCCTTAGAAGTTTGTCATAAAAAAGATACATGGTATTTTATTACTATACAACAAAATTACAAAATATATTGTGGTAAGTAAGACAAATAAATTTAGGAATATAACATGTTTGTAGGTTTAGCAATTCAGTACTGCCTTAGTTACTTTCTCCTTACTGTGACAAAATACCCAACCCCACAAATTAAAGGAGGAAAGATTTGTTTTGGCTCACAGTTTGTAGAGGATTCAGTCCCTAGTGTTCTGGCAACAAGGCAGCGTGGGTGGAATGGCAGAGGAGAAAGAGCTCCTGGCCCTGCAGGCAGGAAGCAAAGGAGAGATCAAGGGAGGAGGAGGGATATACACAATTCCAAGGCACCCCACAGTGACCGACCTCTTCCCACCAGGTTTCACCTCCTAACATCGCACCTAGCTATAAATCTATCAGTGGACTAATCACATATCACAGCCATGATCCAGTCATGTCCCAAAAGCCTCACCTATAGCCATGTGAGGCTTTGTGATAACATCTAGATATAAACAATAACAAATATTGTTGAGTTGCCAGTTTTTTCCATAATAATTTATGGATTCTGTAGAACCCCATCAAAACAGTAAAAGGTTTAGCTTGAGAAACTTGACAGGCTAATTGTAAACTTTATGGAAACATTCAAATGGTCAAGAACAGCAAAGATACTTAACAAAGACAAAGCTGAAGGATAAATGCTCCCAGATTTCAAAAAGTGTTAGTAAACAGCAGTAATTAAGACATTGTGGTGATAGTACAAGAATGGATATGGACCAAAAGGAGATAATAGGGTCAGAAACAGACCCATGCACATACAGCCAGTTGTTGAAAACAAAGGCACCACTGCAACTCAGTGGGAGCTAAAAATGCTTTTGCAACAGAGGACCCTGGGAAACTGTATGCTCGTATGGGGAAAGTAAAAATTGACTCCTACTCCACACTGTGCATGCATCAAAATTAATTTAAGATTGATTATAGATTTGAAAGTAAAAGCTGAAACAGTTAAACTTTAAAAAAAAGCATAGGATATCCTCATGATCTTAGGGTTTCTTCAGACAAAATGCAGGAATCAAGAAAGAAAAATTAAAAAATTATACTTCATTACATTTAAGAACTATTCATCCAAAAGCATTGTGAAAAAAAGAACATGAAAAAATTACCTCAAAGGTAGGAGACTTCCCTAGAATGCACAAAGGCCATGTTAATCCCCAGGACCACACACATGCACACATGTGTGCATGCACACACACACACACACACACACACATGTTGTGCCTGTATGTACATATGTGTGTTGTTTGTTTCTCTCTTTCTCTATCTATATCATCTTTATCTGTATATACTCTATATCTACCTATATCTATATATCTCCAGTAGAATATAAAAAAATTCCTACAAGAAAAGAGGGAAGACAGATAATCCAGTAGGAAAATGGGAAAAGAATTGAGTAGGCAAGGCACTTCTTAAAGGAGATTTCTGAACAGCTAATGAGCATATGAAATAAATGCTTTGCATCATTACGCACTGAAAGTCTATTTAACATAGTTATAAATCACCACTATGAGACCACCACACATTCACTTTAGCTACTAAAACAAAGTATACAAACAAGCAAAGTAAACTCAAACAAACCAACAACTCAGCGGCAGTTGTAACTATTGGCAAGGCTGTGGAGCAATTAAAAATTTTACACATTGATGGTGGGAGTATAAACTGATACAAATATGAACAACAGTACTTGGAAAACTGTAATAAAGACAAATATATGGCTATCTGGTAGACAAGAAATTTTACACATGGAATAAACTCAACAAAAATAGGTACATATACACAGGAAAGGATTTCAAATTAAATTGATTCATTGAAAAAAAATTTTCCCATTAAACAGAGAATCCATAGGTATAACAAAAATCTACCTGTTGTAATGTTGACATAGTCAATCCTCCTCAGGCACAGAGTTCCTCTTGGTAATAGATTTACTTTTCAGCTGCAATCCAAATTCCACTGTACTCATGGTTTTTGGCTTAGAGAGTGTAAAAAGCGTGACTATGTCTTGGGTTGGTTTGTACCTGAAGTTTATTTTATTATTGGTCTAATATCTGGAACCTAACTCAAGTCAGCATCAAACGTAAGTGTAAAGACAGGGTGATCAGAGGAAATGAACTTGGGTATAGATTAAAGGAGGTTTACTTTAAAAGTTTCCCAGTATGTTGTAGTGATGACATTCAATGACCATGTGACTTAGGTCAAGTGTAAGAAGAGTTCACTAAGTGTTTGAGGATTCTGGTCAAATAAATTGAAGTTCTCCATTTCTTAATGATTTGAGTATAAGTACAGTCAAACTAAAAAGTCATAAGGATAAAATGTAACAGCAAGTAAACAGAATATAGAAAGCCTCTTACTGACTAAAGGGGTTTCTTGGAGGCTGAGAAGCTCCCTGTCTCTTTGAAAAAGGGCTGGCAAAAGCAGTCTAAAAGAGATCGAGGAATTAATGTCATTTTAACCAGCATGCTTACTATTCTCTTAATTTCTGTTAATGTATGTATACATGGCTATTTTTGGTTACCTTGAGGGTGTATTCATATTTTGTAATTTTATATTTAGCTTGCCTTTTTATTCAAAAAAATTCTGCCTGTCTGAGTTTTTGACAGGAAGATAAAGTGTGCAGATTTTTCCCACTGCATTTAATGCCTGGTTCTTCTTTCTCCTTCCAACCTAGATTTTTTACAATCTCTTCTTACTTTGTGGCCCCTGTATCACCACACTTTTATTCACCTTTTTTTCTATAAGAATCAATATTACAGGCAAAGATATGATAAACTGTCTCATCAAAGGACAATATTTGTTTCTGATAATGTTGTACAGATATATTGTGTAAGTTGCATTCAGTTACTAATAAAATATAAGGTGGCTTCTGCAAATAAGGGTTTATTTTTCCTATACAGTGAGAGATCTGGATGCTGAGAGTGGATGGCTTTGACGAAGTAGCTCAGGGTGTCTGTCATTATTGTGACCTTTCCTTTATAGCCCTAAGATGCCCGTTCCTGTTCCTACCATTCTATTCATGTTCCATATAGGATGAAGCAGAGCAGTTAGGAAGGGACATGGTCAGCTAAGTTAGCTCATCTTAAAGAGCTTTTCCTGAAGTCCTTGCTAACATCTCCTGCTACATGGGCCGCAACTGTGGCCTGTGATTATCTATCAGCTACAAGGGGGCTGGTCTCCTAGTCTTTTTTCTAGGCGGATTGCCATCCAGAATACAACTGGATTCAGATAGTGTGATAAGAAAAAATGAATATTGGCTGGGCAATCAGTTGTCCTGTCACATGTATCTTCTCTTCATTTTATAAAGGAGATCAAACTTAAGGTCAAATGGAATGAATCTCTCACTGTAGAATTTAGGCATTGACAAAGGAACAGGAAGTGTTGTGAATGGCGGTTCTAATAGATCTTTAATTCTCATCATAGGCCGGGAATATAGCTCAGCGGCACAAGCACCTGCCTGGCAATTGGAAGGTCTGGAGTTCAATTCCTGGTACCAAAAAAAAAAAAAAAAGAAGTGAGATCTAATTCTCATCATATGGGAGAAAGGTTAGTTTATTTCTGTTTAAGGTTAATCTCTAGAATGGCATGACTGAGAAGGAATGTGTGCCCTGAAATCTTTTATTACTGAGTACCTATGTACTAATACACATGAAAAGAAAACATATACTAATACCAGAACTAGGCCATAAAAAAGAAATAAACCATTTTAATTACTTGTGTGTGTGTGTGTGTGTGTGTGTAGTTGTAGATAAATCTATATAGTCTAAACTGTTGCTCATCAATGATTATGAATAATTGGAAAATGAATAATAGGAGAAGAATAACAATAATTTGAAGAATAAGAGAGATGGAAGGAGAACTAACATATTACCTTCATTCCTGATAGAAGGTAGGTAGGAGGGTGTGACTTGTTGTCCAGTAGACCAAACTGAGAGGCAGACTTTCCCACTGAGTTACCATAGCATGGGGTTGGAGCAGGCCCAAAGGAGGAATGGCATTACCGAACTAAGTGTGTGCAGTTTTCCTTTCAATTGTATCAGCCTCATAAATCACTCTACCTCTGTAGTGTTAATGTTAATGTGAGGCTAGGGCCATGAAGAGCCAGACAGGCATTTAGAGTTAACCCTCCTCACGAAGCCTAGAATAGGCCCTGACTTTTCCTCCTGGAAGCCATCTTCCTGTTCCTAGCTATCAGGTGATTATTACACCACTCTGCAGCTGGCTGAGTATTCACTTTTGTGTTTCCTACCTCGTTTGCAGTGTCCAAGGTGCAGCTCCCTCCTCAGGGTCTGAGCACTTCACCCTCATGCTCCCCTCCTAATCACAGAGTGCTCAGTTGTCATCAGTGTGACTCTGAGGCTGATAGACACCATCTTTGCCTCAGAATACGTTCTCCCTCGGTGACTCTGAGGAGAAAACCTTCCATTCAGAATGGAGCTTGAGAGTGGAGGATGCAGTAAAGTGGATTAGCGAGAACCTGCAGGGGCCCTAAGTAACTGCACTCCACTTCAAAGACCATTTGCCCACCGAGCCCTCCTCTCACACGTGGCCTTGCATCTGAAGATTATGCTCCCCTAGAATATTCTGAAGTGGCTACTGAAGAATCTTGTGAAGTCAAGACACAAAGAGCCATTCTGTTCTCAGAAATGCCTACATTTATACTACTGAGAGTCTCGCACTTATATATTATATCTCCTGCTCTCTGTCCCGCTGATTTCAATCTGGCGGGACTGCCACATGTCTTTGTACTCTGCACCGCACATGTGCATATGGTGCATGCTAAATATAAATGTGCTTGGCAGAATCCTTTTTCCTCTTCCTTTGTTTCTGAAAATGTAGTGAAGAAAATGTGTAATGTGCCTCTCCAAAATGAGACTTTCAGGAAGTGGAATTTTCTTGACAACAAGCCACATATTTTATATATCATTTCAGCATGTGGTAGTAGTGGCAGCAGTGACTGTCTGCTGCTTGTCTGGTCAGGTTGGGTCTGCTGAGCTGATTTGTATCCACTCTTCTAGTGAAGTCAGGTAAAGTCCTGCATTGCTGAGTTACTTGGCTGGCTTTCTAGGTGCTGGTTTTCCCTCTACTCAGGGACAAGTCAAGTTAGGCCAGTGTGTGCTAAGTAAAAAGTGACTCAAAGCTCTTAGTAGAGAAAAAACTTTGCATCTTTATTTTCATGAAACAGGAAATAGGGTGGCTCTACTCATCACAGTCAGCCCAGGCCAGGCTGATGGAGGCTTTGGTAAAGCACCTGTGTCCATTGTCATTGCAGTCATGGGTTGCTCTGGCTGTGACAGCTTCCCCTGGAAGTAATAGACATCATGTCTGCTGTCTCTTCACTGGGAACAGTAAATCTTATACTGTGCTCAACCTCAAAGAAGAGCAGAGAATTATTTCCTACCATGGTCCTGAAAAGCAGAGTTTGGAGGATTTTTCTGCCATCACCAGTGTTGAACACATCTACTGCTGGAAAGAGGAGACTGGAAAGTTGCTCATGCTATTGTTGAGGTGCCTGGTACTTTCTAGATGCACTAATGGTGTTGAGGGAAGACAGCAAGGTTGCATTAGAGTAAAAGCTACTCTTTAAAGGTACTGCATAAAGGAGCAACGTCTGGAAGCAGTACTTAGATTTTTCAAAGAAGTGTCATAGTCTGAGGACTCTTGGGCCAGTGATCCAAGAGCACATAGCTGTGTGCTCCTCTTTAAGTCCCTGGAGCTAGGCCATGGCCACACACATAGTGTAAGGCCCAGAATGGAGCAAACGGAAGAGCCAGAAGGCCACTGTTGGAGACTTTCTAGAGCTGGCCTGCTTCCCACTGTCTCCACCACGGTCCCTAGCATCCCGTGGGCTCTGCTTCTGCCAACCCAGCCTGTACTGATTTCTGCTGGTGGCAGGAACCTCAGCAAAGCTGTGATTGCAGGAAGAGTTTCACTATATCTTGAGGACTAGGGAAAGTCCCAGAGCCACTTAGCAGGTGAAGAATCACAACTGTGTGTGTGTGTGCTGGCTTCGAGGGTGTCACATCTCTGCCCTGATGACACTGAGCATAGGCATAACCCAAAGGAGGATTTCCGATGTGGAGGGAGTTAGGAGGGCTTTGCTGGGTGACACTGATCATAGCTGGCAGGGGCTGCTGGAGGAGAGGCAGCCGCATGCTACTTCTCATCACCTGCTCCAGACAGATGACTCCTGCACCGGAGGAGAAGAGAGAGATACAAGAGCAGTGTGGCTCTCTGGAGAAACTGAGGAGTGGTAACGAGGCTGATTCTACTGCCCGTGACCGCTTGACACGATGTGAAGCTCAGCAATTTTTAGCAGGATTCTGCTAATGAATGTGGAACCAGGGGACTGGCAGCTCCATTTCCTCTGGTATTAACATTTTTTACTTTATTTTAATGAGGAAAATGAGATTCTTCTCAGTTTCCTTTCACTGCACCCGGTTTGGGAGGGTATGACATTTAACAACAGTGCCGTGAAAAATATTAAGCATTATACAAATATGAGGAATTGTTGCTATTATTATTCTGATGGAGCACACATGCAGCCTCGAGTCAACCTTAATATTGAGGGGATATTTAAGGGATTAGGAGGGGCTCTGTAACTATTGAGCAGTGACTCAGGATGGCCTTCATAGAAAGGGCCAACTAATCTGGCCATATTAAATCCATTTTTAGAAGCTAAATACCCAAACTCTATGTCAATAAACTGCAAACGCAGACATAAATTGTAAAACTTGATCATCTCACATTAGATGCAACACTCTAGTAAAAGATGTTGGATGGTTAACTCTAATTTGAAGCTGTTAATTGATTATTTTCTGGGTAAGAGGAGGAAATGGGTTTGGGTGGAAGCAGTGGTCCCTTGTTTCTTAATGTGGAGGTGTGACCAAAATGAAATGGAGAGGAATAAGTCTACA